ACGGAAAGAAAAATCCCGCAAGCAGAAAGCAGACGGCCTCAAACAAAACCACGCAGAGCCTGCCGATCCAAAACAGCCCAACAGCACGGCGGCGCCGCACAGCAAACCAAACGGCATGAAGCAACTGCGGGCGCGCGCGGATGCCTTGCAGGCTTTGCGTTGCGCGCCTCCGCGCGGTTCCTCCCCCAGCTTGTCTCCAAGTTTCCTAGTGCGCGCGTATGCATTGCGACGCCGCGCTTAGAGATGCAGGATGCCCTGCGGCGCCACAGCGCAGGATGCCTTGCTTTCAAGAACAGAACTCTTGGTCTTGAAGTGCAAGATGCCCTGCCTAAGTGCAGGATGCCCTGCAGTCCAACGCAGGATGCCCTGCCTTCAAGGCCAGCATGCTTGGTCTTGGAGTGCGGGATGCCCTGCTTAAATGCACAGGCGCGGTCCAAAACCTGACACGGAAAGAAAAATCCCGCAAGCAGAAAGCAGACACCCTCAAACAAAACCACGCAGAGCCTGCCGATCCAAAACAGCCCAACAGCACGGCGGCGCCGCACAGCAAACCAACGGCATGAAGCAACTGCGGGCGCGCGCGGATGCCTTGCAGGCTTTGCGTTGCGCGCCTCCGCGCGGTTCCTCCCCCAGCTTGTCTCCAGTTTCCTAGTGCGCGCGTATGCATTGCGACGCCGCGCTTAGAGATGCAGGATGCCCTGCGGCGCCACAGCGCAGGATGCCTTGCCTTCAGGAACAGAACTCTTGGTCTTGAAGTGCAAGATGCCCTGCCTAAGTGCAGGATGCCCTGCAGTCCAACGCAGGATGCCCTGCCTTCAAGGCCAGCATGCTTGGTCTTGGAGTGCGGGATGCCCTGCTTAAATGCACAGGCGCGGTCCAAAACCTGACACGGAAAAGAAAAATCCCGCAAGCAGAAAGCAGACACCCCCTCAAACAAAACCACGCAGAGCCTGCCGATCCAAAACAGCCCAACAGCACGGCGGCGCCGCACAGCAAACCAAACGGCATGAAGCAACTGCGGGCGCGCGCGGATGCCTTGCAGGCCTTGCGTTGCGCGCCTCCGCGCGGTTCCTCCCCTGGCTTGTCTCCAAGTTTCCTAGTGCGCGCGTATGCATTGCGACGCCGCGCTTAGAGATGCAGGATGCCCTGCGGCGCCACAGCGCAGGATGCCTTGCCTTCAAGAACAGAACTCTTGGTCTTGAAGTGCAAGATGCCCTGCCTAAGTGCAGGATGCCCTGCGGTTCAACGCAGGATGCCCTGCCTTCAAGGCCAGCATGCTTGGTCTTGGAGTGCGGGATGCTTTGCTTAAATGCACAGGCGCGGTCCGAAACCTGACACGGAAAGAAAAATCCCGCAAGCAGAAAGCAGACGGCCTCAAACAAAACCACGCAGAGCCTGCCGATCCAAAACAGCCCAACAGCACGGCGGCGCCGCACAGCAAACCAAACGGCATGAAGCAACTGCGGGCGCGCGCGGATGCCTCGCAGGCCTTGCATTGCACGCCTCCGCGCGGTTCCTCCCCTGGCTTGTCTCCAAGTTTCCTAGTGCGCGCGTATGCATTGCGACGCCGCGCTTAGAGATGCAGGATGCCCTGCGGCGCCACAGCGCAGGATGCCTTGCCTTCAAGAACAGAACTCTTGGTCTTGAAGTGCAAGATGCCCTGCCTAAGTGCAGGATGCCCTGCAGTCCAACGCAGGATGACCCCCTTCAAGGCCAGCATGCTTGGTCTTGGAGTGCGGGATGCCCTGCTTAAATGCACAGGCGCGGTCCAAAACCTGACACGGAAAGAAAAATCCCAGACAGCTTCAAACAGTGCTAATTTTCCGCGTGCAGTGACCACGCTTTCTGCGCGGGATGCCTCGAGTATAGGTTCGTTTTCCGCGCGCAGCGGTCGGCATTTGCTCGTGCTGAGCCCGCAGTCTCCAAGATTGGGCGCCGCCGGTCTTCTTGCTCCAGGCTTGTTAGCGCAGGGCACATTACATCGCCATGCTCAAAGGCTTGATTGGAGATAGGCAGTAGTGCCAACTGTTCCAGCTCATGTTGCCAAGCTGAATGCCAGCGAAGTCATTTGTCGCGATGTCCCAGGAGCGGGATCGGACGCGTAGCCCATGCCGCACACCATTGACTCCAACGCAAGTGCAGCGCACTCCGAGTCCACAGCAACCAGAAGCCTCATCGCGCTTGCGTCCACTGGTGGGGGGCTTTCGCGGCTCTCCGGGTGGCACTGGCTTCAGCGAAGGGCATCCCTTCTCCCCAACCCAGGTCGACCCAGCACAAGCCGCCCCGGACCCCTTGGCCAGCGCTGACTTGGACGGAGTGCACGCATGCGTCGCTGAGTACGCCGCGCCGCTCCTGCGACGGCTACGGGGGCCACAAGCAGACTGGCCTGCGGCGGAGGATTTCGCCAAGATTCCTAACTGGCCAGCGCATGCTGTCCCACGCCCGGCAGCCCTGTGCTTTTCTGAGATTGCCAGTCTGGGCTCCGAGAAAGCAGACTTGGACGCCGCTGGCTCTCGCCTGTTGCCATCTTGCTGTAGTGCTTTGCCGGTTGAGGTGGCCCTTCTCTGCCTCTCGCGCTGCACAGGGTTCCCGGACAAGCTGGTGCATCAGGTTTGGTCGACAATGCTCGCTGCGTGCTTGCATATTGACATGCAAGTGGAATTGAAGGCAACTTTATCAGTCACCCCGAGGGTGCCGTGCATCGGCATTGCAGCCCCGGGGTCGAAGAAGACCCCCGTGCAGCAGGAGTTGATACACAGGGTGTTTTGCGACGTCATGGATCGCATGCCCTTCCTCGCGCACAACTCTGCAAGCGCGGGTGAAAGACTTCTTTTCGACGGAGGAAGCACTGCGGGTTTCGTGAAGCAGCTGAAGCAAAACTCCGGCTATATCTACTTAGTTGTAGAGGAGCTAGTCAGCTTCTTCGACGCAAGTTACGCTAGCTCTGGCGCTACGAACACAGGGCAACACGTAGCCCCAAGTACATTGCTTCCACTCAGAACTGGCAATGGCCTCGGCAAGGCCTTGAGCTCTGATTTGTCCAACAGGGTTGACCGGACGCAGGCTGCAATCTCTATGATGGCGCAGGAGGACGTCATTAGAAAGTTCTTTTGCGCGAAGGGCATGTCCGCTGCTTAGCTTGGGCATCGATTGTTAAGCAGCAACGGCACGCAGCTTGCGCCCACCCGTTTGGTATCTTACGCAAGCAGTCGCGTGTGACGATTGTCATGAAGGTGTTTTTGCCCTAACAGCTGGCGGTTTTGGGGGCTTCTGCCATAGTAAAATGGTTCGGCGCAAACACGAAGCGAGTGGTAAATGGATAGGCTCCGGTTGCGAGAGCGGCGCTCTTGAATATTTTGCGAGCTTTTTTTTTTGAGCGACGTGTCTTTGCCAAAAAAAGTCCTGACATGTAGTCGAGCGCTTGTGGCTGCCTTGGGCTGTGCGTCTGAGGTCCACGGGCTTTCTACAGGGGTGGTGCTTCACCGTGGCCCACGCGCAAGCTTGCCGTTGGGATGACATCGGTGCCTTGCAGCCCATTCGCGAATTTCTTGGCGGAGTCGTAGAAAGCGCGCTGCGGATCTTTGGGCCCGCCAGCTCGGCGCGCAAGTTGTCCTTGACCAACGAGGCCAACAAGCTCCTTGCTCAGGTTCACAATTTCTTCGAAGAGCAAAAACTATCTACGCAGCAGCGGGTGTCAGTCAGGGACTATGTCTCCAAGCACTCGCAATGGATTGGCAGCTACATCGCCGTGGCTCACGTGGAAGAGGAATCTTTGCGCTACCTGCAGTTCACGCTCTGCGCCGTGCCTGCGGTTCAACATCGCACGATGGACCCGAGGGGGAATCCAGCTGATGTCCCCGCACAGTGCGTGTGCGATCTGCCGGTTGTGTTGAAGGTCTGTAAGCGCAAAGGCAAGGGAGCGCAGTCTAATGTCGGGCGGCAGTTCTGGTGCTGCTCCGAAGCAAGTGCCTTGGTCACACAGTTGCAAGGGTCGTTTGCGTCGCTCGGATGTTGCTCTGTTTTTGTGTTTGACGCGCACGGTCCGCGGGTGCGGTCAGGGTGTGCCTTGCCAGGCTCCGAGGATGGCTGCGACTTCTTCAGGTGGTGCGACGAGCCAGCTTCCCTGGGACCCCTGCGGCAAGATCTGTCAGATCTAGTGGACGAGAGGCACGCTGTGGACACCAAGGCCGGCGTCCGAAGCGTTCAGCGAGCGCTTGTCAAGTTCACGGAGGCAGCCTTCTTTCTCAACGTCATTGCCTTTGAGACGGAGATGCGGCTGCAGACCAAGCAGTCACAGGAAATCTTCTGCTCTGGGGATGTTCTGGAGTGCAAAGTATGCGGAGAGCCGATGACATCCACGGAGCGCTTGCTGGCGGAGGTCATGAGAGCACTTCCCGACGAGCAGGAAGTAACGCTCAGCGCTTTGAGAAACTCGGCTCGATTGGGTCGGGCTGCCATGGGCCCTCGTCATCTATCGGCTGCTCAGTTCGATGAGGTTTGCGAGCTGGCACGTGGGCTTGGTATAGCTGATGTCCACCAAAGACGGGCTGGTGGGGCTGCAGGGCGTCAGCAACGAGTGCTTGCAAAGCGTGTTTTGACAGAGGAGACCAAGAGGGCGATGGAAAATTTGCGTGTGCCTCTCTGGTGCTTTCCGGCAGCGTGAGCAGACCCAGCTGCGGAAGGCAAGCTTCACTTTGGCTGCTGATGGGCACGGCTGCCAACGAGCACAATGTCTGCGTTTTGCATGCTTCCGGTTATTCTATATGGTGCGACACGTGGCGTGCCTGCGAGTCGCGGAAAAAAAAGCTTCTGCAGTCCGTGTACTCTGCCTGCGCACGACGTGTTCCAGCTTGCGAGACAGCTGTTTCAAGGCTGAGTTTCCGTGCTTGCTCAGAACGTTCGGCAATTCAAGGCCGGTCCAAGCTTTCAGTTGCTCCAGGCTCTCCCACGCTTCAACGCAGTGTCGTGGAGCATACGTTTCCGGCTCTGCGGGGAAGGTAGCGAGGTCGTCCTTTCGAGCCCCATCAGATGGAGTGGGAGCAGCAGGCCGTCATCCGGCTGTCTCCCGACTTCGATGTGACCAGCCACGCCGAGTGCCGCCGCGCCGTGCTCGCGTGGCTCGCACAGCAGTCCATGGAAGCAAAGATGAAGATTGGCCGCTCAGCTGGTGAGCACGTGGCAGTGTATGCGTATTGCCAAACGCATAAAGACTGTCCTCGCAAGTGGCGTCATATCTTCCAACTCACAGAAGACGGCGCCAAGGAGCACATCGTCCACGTCAACGGCAACCACGCCACGGAGCCCAGGCTGGTTCGAGGCACTGCAGTGGCAGTGCGTCGGCAGGCAGACGCATTGACCGAAGCCAACACGCCAATGCAGGCCATGGTGCAGCTGGCGGCGCAAGGTGCAGAGATGGAGACTTGGCCCTGCACAGCAGCCTTGGTGCAATCTCGCCGGCGAGCCGTGCGGAAAAAGAGCGCGTCGGCAGAGTTCGGTGGAGGCACTGGCTTGGGTCAGTGGCTGGAGCACTTGCGCAAGATCAACGAGGATGGGAGCGTCTGGAGCACCGTGGTGCGCGAGGACGGATGCGGCATCGTCACCTGCCAGAAGTTCGCCGACGCTTCCTGCCTTCAAATTCGCTGCGTTCTTGTCTTTGCACCCACAAGCAATCTGCACCCACAAGCAAGTTGGAGGCGACTGATGTTCTCCCTTGCTTTTGTTTCAGTTTCTTTGCCACGCCATTTGATTCAGCTGGTTGTTTTCTCCACTTCGGCGGTGGGATAGGCTGCCGGGCTAGTTGGGGCAGCTGCGCAGCTGAGGCTGCTGCAGCGATGATTGCTCAAGCTCGCGGCGGAGACCATGACTACCTTGTCGGCGTGCATGACTGCACGTACAAGGTCTTTTCCAGCGATTGGGGCCTGTGGAAGTTCTGCTTGTGCGCGAAAAAGTACGACCGCGAAGGTATTCCTCGAACCACTTTGGTGCAAGTAGGCTTGGGCTTTGTGCCCAAAGAAGGGCAAGAGCACATGCTCACGGTGCTGCACCTCATGAAGGAATGGCACTCCTCGAAGAACAATGACTTGAGTCAGTTTCTTCACCAGGTTCACGCTGACGAAAGCTTAGGTGGGCAAAACGCCTTGCGAAAGGCGTTCCCCAAGACTGTGTTCGTCTTAGATGTCCGACACCAGGTGTCATCCAACATGAGGCGCGCCGGCTCCAAGAAAGAGGTGCGGGCAATGGTGGCGGCAAACATGCAGTTTGCGCTGAGTGCTCTGGGATTCTCCAGGCCTTTGTTCAGCCTTTACATTGACAGCCTCTTAGTGAGGTTAGTCGAGCTCGGAGAGCTGGACCTGGCGGCCTATCTGCAGAAAGACGTGGTGGAAAAGGTGACTGTCGAAGGGAAAGAGATGTGGACTTCGGCCTGCTGCTGCTTCATCTCGCTGCTGGGGACTTCCGTGAAGTTCCAGTCCCACGAAGCTTCTCGGCGGCAACTCGCTCCGCCTCTGACTAGGCCCTAGACCCAAACCCCACCCGCTGAGGCGAATCCTGGGATGACTTCCACCACCATTTCCCAATCGCTCGAAGCTTCCTGGCATCACATGAAGAAGCTCTTGCCTGGCAACGTGGCAAAAATGCCTGCTACAGATGCTTTGAACCACATCCTCAAAGCTACGGAGGCGTGGGATTGCGCCAAGGGTTCCGCTGTGAGCTCTGGTGGGCGCTGTCACTGTTCCACGTGTTTTCGCTCGTGTTGGAAGTATCGTTTAGCGATTTGTAGGGTAGTGCGCAGCGTGCGGCGCCGCAACGACCAGTCGACTTTGGTGCGCCCCTGCGGCCTCGTCAGGCAAAGTTGGGCGCGGATGACGCCGCCGCGAAGCAGCTCAAGCTCAAGCTGGGCGGTATCTCTAGCCGCCTGGTCAGCGGCGAAGCCATCTTCACGGAAAGGGTTAAAGTCCTTGACGATCACCAAATGAGGCTGCCGTGCGCACGCTTGCTGTGGCAATCTTGCCCCGGCAACACGAAGAGCTTCGAGTTTGATATTGGTGAGGTCGGCGACGTCCGTCAAGCATTTGTGCTCCCAGTCACAAATGCCTCCATGGTGGTGGACGATGATGTGGCTTGCTGCATGGTGTCCCTGCTACGGCTCTGCGACTCTTCCGTGGCAGACGTCCTTCGGCTGCACTTCTGTCTGTAGAAAGCACTTGTGTGACCCCACAGAAGTTGTCTTTGCGGGATAGTAGGCCCCCCCTTCCCAGCGGAAGATGCTTGCATGCAGGTGCAGAAGCACTTGGAGAAGTCGCCCGGCATGTGGCACGAAGAGGCGGGGCGCTTGTCCCTCACCAAAGTCAAGGAAATCTTGGCCAACGTGTGTGTAGTCACGCTAGTTGCTGGGCCTGAAGAAGTCCTCGACCGTCTCCGATGCAGCTGTCTCTACTTTGCGAAGACTTCGAGATGCAGCCACATGGCTTTCGCAGCTTTCCTTCTGGGCCACCACAACGACTACTTCCAGGACCTGATTGACTTTACCAGGAAAGATGCTCCTAAACAGCCCCCTTCAGCCTGTGTCAAGCTGACCAGGAAAAAATACAGCCGAGCTGCCATTCCATCAGCCGCTGCCTGGAAGCGCATGGCCACGATCTGCGCAGAAGCTTCTGAGAAGTACAACAAGCGACGAAAGACCGACAAGGGTGAAGCGCAAGCAGCTATGGAAACGACACCGACCAAGCAGGAGCTAGCGGCGGGAAAGAACAAGGATCCCCGCGCGCTAAGCTTGGAGACAATCAGGGACAAGCTCGGAGCAAAGGATTTCCACAGCAACTTTTCAGGAATGCATCTTTGCATCAAGCATGCTGTGACAGTCCAAGAAGCCAAGGAGCACGGGCTCGGAAAGATGATCCTTGGCCTCAAGCACAAGACCACTAGCGCTCCCACCAAGGCGCTCGCAAACCAGCTCTTGCAAGCATGGGTGGTGGAGACGCGTGCGTCCGCTTCTTCGGCCAAATCTAGCAGCTGACCGGTGAGGCTGACCGGTGAGGCAGTCGTATGAGATGGGGTGTGATGAGCGCTCTGTAGCGTAGTTCGCTACAACGTTCATGATGAGATTATGAGATCAGAACCAGACGGCCACGCGCGGCACGCGTCGCAAAACAAGGCCTGCGTGATTGTCCTTTTTGTGCCTTGCGGCTACAACAAGCCGCGGCTTGTCTCGCAGTTCGTCTCTCAGCCCATCACGCAGGATGCCCTGCTCATGCCCACTCTACTGCAGGATGCCTTGCCTTCAAGAACAGGATTCTTGGTCTTGAAGTGCAAGATGCCCTGCCTAAGTGCAGGATGCCCTGCGGTCCAACGCAGGATGCGCTGCCTTCAAGGCCAGCATGCTTGGTCTTGAAGTGCGGGATGCCCTGCTTACATGCACAGCCGCGGTCCAAAGCCTGCGACCGAAACAAAAACCCCGCAAACAGAAAGCAGACAGCCTCAAACAAAATCACCCAGAACCTGCCAAGCCAAGACAACCCAACAACACGGCGGCGCCGTGATGAGCGCGCCCGCTCAATTTCTTCGCGTAGCACTGCGCACATGCCGGCACATGATAAGCGCACCTGCGCAAGTGCATTCGCATAGCACTGCGCACATGCTGGCACATCTTATGCGCACCCGCTCAAGTGTATTCCACTGCACATATGCTGGCACATGATAAACACACCCGCTTAAATGCATGCGTGTAGCACTGCGCACATGCTGGCACATGAAAAGCGCACCCGCTCCAGTGTATTCGCCACGCACTGCACACATGCTGGCACATGATAGGCACACCCGCTCAAGCGTATTCCACTGCGCATATGCTGGGACATGATAAGCGCACCCGCTCAGTTCGCGTAGCACTGCGCACATGCCGGCACATGATGAGCGCACCTGCTCAAGTGCATTCGCATAGCACTGCGCACATGCTGGCACATGATAAGCACACCCGCTCAAGTGTACTCGCGTAGCACTGCACACATGCTGACACATGGTATAAGCGCGCCTGCTCAAGTGTACTGGCCTAGCGCTGCACACATGCTGGCATATTAATATGATAAGCACACTCGCTCAAGTGTACTGGCCTAGCACTGCGCGCATGCTGGCGCGTGATAAGCGCACCCGCTCCAGTGTATTCGCCCAGCGCTGCACACATGCTGGAACATGATAAGCAGTCCCGCTCCAGTGTATTCGTCTAGCACCGCACTTATGCGGGCGCATGATAAGCACGCCCCCTCAAGTGTATTCGCGTAGCACTGCACACATGCCGGCACATGATAAGCGCACCCGCTCCAGTGTATTCGCCTAGCAATGCACACATGCTGGCGCATGATAAGCGCACCCGCTCAAGACTTGAGCGGGTTGTATTCCACTGCACATATGCTGGCGCATTACAAGCGCACC